TAAACATGGGAAACATAGAAATGCACATACAAGATACAGATGAGTCTTTTGGCATACGTGCAACCCTAAGCACTACCAGGAAGAACATAACTGGACATTCAGAATTCTTGCCTTAATCCCTAATAAAAATCTATTACAATATTGTATCTATAATATTACAATCTATTACAATAGATTGTGGACTACTGAAGGAAATATATAATGAGATCTCAGACAGTCTTTTGTCCAAGGTAATAAGGTGCACTAGAATATCTTTCCTATCAGAAGTCGAGAAAACTCAAGCACTGGCTAAAATGCTCACTAAAAGAATTTTAACATCAAACTAAGCTCACCAAATAAACAGCCTTCCCCCTACACTTCCTTATTTAAAGCTTAGAATCAGACAGCTATGAGAAGTTCCTCCCTTACACTTCAAGGGCAAAAAAATGATTTGGCTAAAAAGTAACCACAGCTATCTTGAAAGGACACCTGTTCCTTCAGCTATATACTACTACTTCCACCAAGACAGCATTAATTCACATAATATTTTTAGAGCACCATAAAAAAAAAAAAAAAAAAAAGAGGTGCTATGTTAAACAAAACTTGCCTACACAAAATGTGTTTGTTAAATTCAATAGCAACCATCACCAACAAACACGGCAGTTAAAAAAAAAAATACTGCTGCTTTGAGAATAAGTATGAAGGTATAAAATCTACAATACACCTTGTAACAGCCCTTATTACTTTCAAGAAAGAAAGTTTGGGATTTTGTTTTTGTCTAAAAATCAAAATTTAACTGGAAAAATGAAGTTGCTCTCTCAATATATATTTTTTAATTATTTATCATTCAATAACAAGAGTAGTTTAATTATGAACCCACCATCTATACTACTACATTTAGAAGCACTCTTAACTTGCACTCAGGATTCCCTAACATCACTACTTGCTTATGTTGATGTAGCCAAAAATATCCTTGCAACCCATCAAGTCATTCAGGGGCAGAAGTTCATCAGTCAATTAGTACTGACCAGTACTTAGCACAGAGGGCCACTGCATCTATCTTGTATGTTTGTGGGCTTCTGTTTGAAATTAGCAGATCTCCTTGGGCTCAGCAACAGCAAGAAGCAAATGGTTCAATACCACCTGAAGAGCCAAGCAGCAGTCTGTGCCTTCATCTCTCTTAATGTTTGAAGAATGAGCAACAAGTGCACAGCAGAAAGTCCAGCTTTGTTTTGACGAACAACTATTCTGAATATAGAGCAGGACTTTCTCTAAGGGAGAGCACTGAGGAACATGCAGTCCTTGGTAAACTACAGAAACCCCAGACTACAGAGAAGAATCTATACTGTAACTGAACTAAGAACACAGAAGCAAACCAGTGAAGGACCTTCTCAATTAACAGAAGAGTTCAAGAACCAACATCAGTGCACTAATGACGTGCATGAATACAAAAGCTTATATTACAAATTCAGTGAAGTCATCACCAGGTAAAGAAATAAGTACTAATAAGAAAACTACACTCTATTTCCTTCCCTATTAAGAAAATTAGTGCTCAAAACTGAAGTCAGCAAAACAATCATAAATAGTAAAACAGTCATTGGAGGCAGGTGCACATGCACACAATCTACTATGCTATACGTTGCGCCTCTCTCTCTCAATTGGCAATGAAAAGCACCATGGAAAAATGCTAATGGCTGGCCAAACCTACTATCACATAGCAATTCAAAAAACTTTACTGTTTCCAGAATCTCATATATGGGATACAGTTAGCAGAATTCATACAACAGTGATTGTGCAGACTGCAACAGGCACACTTTCCTGTCACTGACATCCTTGTATTTGGAAGATAAGTGAAACTACTTACTATTGTGCAAACTCTACAACAATTTTACTGTACTTAACTAGTTCTCTGTCTGAAGAAAAAGTACTTATTACCAATCTGCCTACCCTCACATGCATACCAGCTTCCACCATGAGAAGTTGCTTACTGCATACAGCAATGCATTTTCCATGAAGCTGGCAGAAAAAGGCAGACTTGGAGTAACTGCAATCCAGCTAGCAGTGTGCTGAACACTGTGACAGCACATATAGTAGGGTGGTCACAAACCTCACTGCAACCACTTCAGCGTATCAGCCCTCCCAGCCTGGGTCAGGCCTTCAGAAGGGTACTTTTCACTATCAGTTTGGCAGCTTAGAGAGAACAGTAAGGATGTCTTTTCCCAAACGTTCCTCCTGACAATCTCACACCTGTGCTTAAGAAATGAAAACTGGATCACAGTGATTTAGATAAAAACAAGCATGTTTGTTTGTTTATACAACTACTCTATAGAACCTACAGAACACCTATCACAGAAATATCAAGTTATGAGTTAATAAAATTTAAATAGTAGAGCTTTCCTACGCAAGCTTTCAGAGGAATACAGAAAAGCATTACCAGTATACCAACTAACAAGATCAAAGTCTTACAGCACATGGAGGGAATTTAAACTTTAGCCATAACCAACTCCTTAGAGAGTAAAAATAGGAGGAACAACGGTTCAGTTTATAGGCACTGATATGGCATAGGGATCTACACTTACACCGAAATACCGTGGATGAATGAGATTTGAAGGTTCCTTAACTGCTACAGTAGTCAGAACAAAAATAGTTACAACTGAGCAACAAGAAAACTGAAAGTCCTTCAGAATGATTGCTTCACTTTGAGCAGTATGCCTCGTTTTATTTTCTACTTTTTAATCAAGGAACCAAAACAGATGTTTAATAATATTAGGAACTTCAAAACTTCAAGGCTCTGATCTTCTGCCTTTGCGGTTTTGTTTTTATTTAATCTGTGCTGCATTCCACATAGCTCAGGAGTGCTAAGATCATAGAACCATAGAATGGCCTGGGTTAAAAAGGACCACAATGATCACCTAGTTTCAACCCCCTGCTATGTGCAGGGTCACCAATCACCAGACCAGGCTGCCCAGAGCCACATCCCTTGAATGCCTCCAGGGATGGGGCATCCACAGCCTCCTTGGACAACTTGTTCCAGTGCATCACTGCCCTCTGTGTGAAAAACTTACTCCTAATATCTAATCTAAACCTCCCCTGTCTCAGATTAAAACCACTCCCCCTTGTCTATCACTATCCACCCTCATAAACAGCTGTTCCCACTCCTGTTTATATGCTCCCTACTTAAAAAAATAATAATAATTATAAAAAGACAAAAAAAAATTATAGTGAAGTAATGCTCAAATATGACTATTATGATTTCTAGGCTTGCCAGAAAATAAAGGTAAACTTTCACGTATACTGGCTTTCAAGTTGTTGCTATTCACTTAAACAACAACACAAAACACCTAGCTTCAGAGACAGCACAAGCCTCATCTTCTTGCTCTGTTTTCTCAACACAAGACACAAAGCTGAAGTCTCTCTGAGCTAAGTGTCTGCCAAAAACCTAATATGACAAAAGCCACCGCACTGCCACACTGATGAGCAGTTCTGCAGTTCTTTTCTGATAAAGAATGGACTGAAAAGCATAGATTAGATTAAGTTAATACCTGTTTTACATATTAAAGAACCTGATTTTTTTTTCTTTGAAACGGTCAATTCCTAGTTTTACTGGAATTCTATACAGCTGTTTTTATTTATGACACATAACCAGTTCAGTTCTCCCCTTCTGCCTGCACAGCCCCCACTCACAGGAGCATCAACAAAGAAGTACATATGACAAAACAAGAGGTGAAAGAATCATAGAATGGCTTGAGTTGGAAAGGACTCTAAGGGTCATCAAGTTCCAGCTCCCTTGCCTCTTGGCAGGGCTGTCAGCTGCTAGATCAAATACTAGACTAACTACCCAGGGCCCACCCAACCTGGCCTTAAACACTTCTAGAGATAGGGCATCCACAGTCTCCCTGAGTAACCCATCCCAGCAGCATCTCACCATTCTCTCAGTAAAGAGCTTCCCCACCAGCATCTACTCTAAATCTCCCTCCCTTTAGTTTTAAACCGTTTCCCCCTGTCCTACCGCTATCTACCCGTGTAAACTCCTTCCAGAATGCTGGTTGTGACTTCAGCTGCAAGACCAGCCACGCTTTCTGAAGCTGGGTAGCAAGAAGGCACACAGCCAGAGCACCCGCTCCAAACATAAGGCAGACAGCAACTCGGACGAACACGCTTTAAAGATACCTTTTCCCTCGACCCTGCCGCCTTTTGCCATGCCTCCAAGAACAGCCTGACTTCCAAGGTTACACAGAGCAAAAATTAAATAATAAAAAAAAAAAAAGCCCAACAAATGGAAGCAGCCCAGCCAAAGGGCAACCCGGCCAGCCCGGGACGCCCGGGCCCCGCGCCGGTAGCCCGGAGTAAGGCTGCTCCTCCCCGCCCTGCCCCTCGCCCCCGCGGGAGGAAGGGAGCGGCGGCGACTTCCCCACCCCCACGGCCGGCACCGACCTTCCGAGGTGAGGCGGCAGAAGGGCTTCACCAGCTCGGCGAAGCTCAGGTTGTTCCTGCGGGTCAGCCGCTCCGCCTCCTCGCTGCACAACGCGGCCACCAAGGGCACGAACGAGTCCTGGATGAACTCCTGCACCGACTGCACGCACTGTGCCATCGCCGCCGCCGTCGGGGAGCCCAAGCAGGACCCGTCACCTCGTTCCGCCGAGCTCCGCTTCTCCTGCCGAGGCCGCAGCCGGCCGAACGCTCAGCAGGCGGCCCGCGCCGCCATGTCGCGCCTCCGCCGAGCGCCTCGGGTAGCGCCCGTCCCGGCGGCCCCCGCGCTCGCTCATGTGATTGGCCGCGAGGGGCGGGGCGGAGGGGGAGGCGACGGTGGCCGCGGGGTGGCCGAGGCTCAGCCCCACACGACGGGGCTGTCGGCGCGCTCCCATGGGGCGGAAGCCGCCGGCGACCGCCGCTTTCTGGCAGGTAGCGACGGGATCTTGTGAGGCGGGTGGTAGTCGAGGCCGTGGTCGCGGTTACAAGCAGGAGGAGGTCAGGGAGCGCTTGAGTATCGTTCTCCTTATTCTGCGTGTGATTTTTTAAAAACAAAAAGATGAGGTTATTTCTGTTGATAGTACAGAATGAATCCATCCTGGTTGAAAACCCATTCCCAGCTCAGCTGCCCAGGGCCCCATTCAACCTGGCCTTGAGTGCCTCCAGGGATGGGGCACCACAGCTTCTCTGCGCAGCTGTGCCAGTGCCTCACCACCCTGTGAGTAAAGGATTTCCTCCTTATATCTAATCTAAATCTCCTCCCTTTTAGTTTAAAGCCATTCCCTCTTGTCTTGTCACTATCAGACTATGTAAAAAGTCGGTCCCCCTCCAGCTTATGAATTCCCCTCAAGTACGGAAGGCTGCAGTGAGGTCTCTTCAGAGCTTTCTGTTCTCCAGACTAATCAACCCCATCTCCCTTACCCTGTGTTCGTAGGAGAGATGCTCCAGCCCTCCAGTCATCTTCATGGCTCTCCTCTGGGCACTCTTCAACGGCTGATCCTGGAAATGCTATCCAAAAGCTACTCAATATGGCATTAAAAATATTTTGGTTTTGATGGATACTAGAAAAAGTCAAAGGCCAACTTTCTGCAGATATTTATGGTTCGTCCATGTTTGGAAGCTCTCCAAAGAGATAGTCCAAAATAATGTTTCCAGAGATAGAGTAGGACCTCCACCTGGCATGTGGAAACAACAGTGCATTTCCCCCGTCCCCCTTAATCCTATGCTTCAGAAAAGCACACAGACTACATCTGGTGGATTGATATGGAGCAAAGAAGTCCCAGTCCTAACCACAACTGATTTGACATTAAAAGCTATTTTTAAATATTGAACATCCTGGTGCCTTTTTAGCAGGGATTCAGTTTCACTTCCCATGTTTTCCCATGGCTTAGAACCTTTGATTCAGCCTCTGACTCGTTTGCTCTACCAAAGAGACAGTAACACCCCCGACTTCAAGGAACACAGTAGCTCAGGGTGTTTGTATCTCAGATCTGTTTGCTAAAATACCACTGTCAGAGGATTAAAATAACATCATTTACAAGGCAGAAGGTACATCTGAAGAAATATAATTTATCATCTTTACTTCTATAATTCCCAAGCCTGTCAATTTGGGCACAAAATTTTGCTTTTAAAGTCAGCCTACTAATATGTAGGATTAACAGTTGATAGAATTACAGAGGGACTGATAAGAAGTCATAATCATAATCCCAAATTCTAGCCATCTGGATTATTTAGCTGAAAATACTGCTTCTTTTGCAGAGGAGAAACAGAAATGGAGTTATGTGGGAAAGAAGTGAGACTGTGTAATGTGATAGGGTGGGACAGGGATGTCTAGATAAGAGAATGAAAAAGTAAGAAAGGGTGTCTTGAATAAAGCAGAACAAAGAAAATCATGGAGACAAAAATATGTCCACTCTCTCAATTGTGAAAATAAAGAAGGCATTATTGAAAAAAACTGATCTTGAAAGTGCATAGGCTCTACTGCTGTTGCTTTGCTGCTGCAGGTTTGATTTTTCACTCCCTTCCACCCTACCATGCCAGGTGTGGAAAATGGTACACTTTAGCATACTTGAAAGAAGTCATTAGAAGGTGATTTTGCAAGCAAGTCCACATCAGGCAGCTGGACCAGTTGCTTAGGCTGTGGATTTGCTCCCTGCCAAAGCTGGGGCCACAGCCACTGCCCCAGCACCTACAGGTCTTTCACACACACATGGGCACATGGCTAGTGATGCAAAATCACATCCTCACATCGTAGGTTTAGAGATAGGACAAGAAAGGACGATATATGTCCTGTGTGTATTTGGGTAAGAAACTGATACAGCTCATGCAAACATAAAGGTGAGACAGAGGAAGAGGTAAAGCTTGTTGTTAGTTTACTGGGGGGGGAGGCCTGGCTGGTTGGAGTTTGTTTTGTTTTTGCTTTATTTTGTCTTTTACTTCAAGACAAAGTAGAACTACAAACTTCAGCCAGTCTGGAACAACCACTATCAATAAACCTGCTGCCCACTGGGAGAAATAATACTTCTATCGATGCATCTCAGTTGGGATAAATTTCAGAAACAGCACTGCAGCTTCACTTCCTCTTTAGGAAGGTAGCAACATGCGTATACAAGATCCTGGATTTGTGCCAGTCACACAAGGACAAAAATTAAGTTTGACACACTGTGTCTAGTACTGACATACAGCAGAAGATATAATTTCCTTGAGCTACATGCTGTAGCTTTTAATATAGTCAGTTTTGATTATGGTTTAAGACCAGAACTATATTTCTAGCATATGCATTGTTGCTACCCTAGTTCACAGGGAAGCTGAAAATTTTCGTTTTATTTGTGTGTGCTTTCTGGAAGATCTGAGGTGCTGAACTTAAACATTTTTGCTATTCAGTTAAACTTCAATATTCTGAGTAAGACAGCAACGTTCTTAGGACAGAGGAACTTGCAAAGGTTTCTTAACAGCAGTCTTTCTCTGAAAAGAGAATAGTGTCTCACTATTGTTTTATTGAAACAGATTTTCTAGTTCTCCATTTCTACGTATTTAAGGAAGTACTGTTGGAGGCATAAGGAGAAAGCTAAAATGACTCGAACAGCAGATTCTCAGTTAACAATCAACTATTTCACATAAGGCATTTTTCCTAGGTATTTAGTTACATAAATAAAGCTCTGTGTACTGTAAAATCCTGCAATAATAATAAATGCATCAGAATAATACTGGCAGTTTTCTATTGTTCACCAGATATTACTCCTGGGGATAAAATCAATTTGAGATTTCCTGTGTTTTGTATGATAAGAATCTCCTGTCTGTCCACAAACAGATTACTTTTCACAGCATTACAAATCCATCAATCAATAAAATAGACCAAACCAAGCAAACATGTTAAACATACTTTTCCTCAAAATAATATTAATAAAAAAATCTATACTTAAAGCAGTGGTGGAATTTTTAACTGCAAAATGTATCTTAATACACAGCAAGCAGTTAAACAGTCATAGAAAGGTCATCCATCTCAATATTACTAGTATTTAATAGTCCTAACATTCAGGCAGATGCAATTCATCTATCAGACCTCAGGCCAACTGAGGAGAAAGAAATACAAATTTAAACAAAACAAAGAAAAAAAACAGCCTCTGTTGTATGCAAAAAGATGGGACAAGTAATATTTTCAAGTAACCATTTTGTTATTTGAGTTTGCACCATTCCTTGACAGCACTCTGTTTAGATTCCTTGTGAGTGAAAATCATTACTTTTTTGGGGAAAAAAAAAATATAGAAAAGAGAAAGAGAAACATGGAAATTTTTCAGATTAAGGTCATGATCCTATTTCTCTTGGGAAAAGTTCTTCTAAGTTCCGTGTTCTCTGCATTTTTTTGTGTCTGGAGAGTTTAGGGAGAGCTTGAAACAGTCCAAATAGCATGTAAAACCTTTGAGCTATGCCCTGTTTAATAATTCTTTCAACCCTAGTTGTAGCTGAATCAAATCAACAATAAAAGTAACTACAGGGCGTTCCTATTTATCTTCAGAGCCACCATGTGCATATCTACTTAAGGAGCGGATTCACAAAGGAATTCAAGCCAATCTTAGCCTCATTTACTGATGTAAGAAAACAAAACAAAACTTTTTACCTCCATAAATCTGGCTCTGCTTCTCAAGTGGATGTACAGTGCACCATAGGCTGAGGAAAAGAACTAAGACATCTGAAAATTAACCCTGTTTTTAAAGTGTTCCAGCTTACCACTTGACCAGAGCTGCGCCAAACTGTGGCTGAGCAGTGGCTCAGGGCAGGAGCTGGGACCAGGTCTTGCAAAGGAAACCTGGGCTGTGAGCAACCTCAGCCATCTGCAGAAACAGCAGGGAGCTGATGAAACCTTACATGGCATGAAATGGGCATGCAGGGACAACATAGAGGACATAGCTTTGTCACAGTTTTGGTTTGAATGAGAAGCAAGCATGCTTTGGGTTCATGTGAAGGAACGATTTTAGATGTAACTGAACTATAAAGTGCTTTCTATGGGTGCAGTCATTACGTTCACTCAGCCCAGAAGGCAAAAAGTATCAGCTGATCCAGTCTACAAAATTCACTTCCAGGCTGCACTAATTGTAAATATAGACATAGCTATGCCTTCCATTCTGGGGTGACTTCAGTCATATACTGCTTCCTGCACTGAAAGCACTGCTGCTGTTTGCTCAGCCAAAAAGCTGACAACAGAGAGGCAGTGTGTGTGTAATTCTGTTTATTAATATTTATCTTTCCCCATAAGTCTTCCTGCTGAATGAGGGAAATGTTACTTATATTGTTCTATACTATTCAAGTTCTGGAGATACACTTTCATCTGAAGCATAAAGGAATTAACTCTGGTCTGAATTGTTTTGTCTCTGGTATTTGTAGGAATGTAGTTCTCAGCTTGGGAAGAGATGGAAGGCAGGGAGAAAGAGTAAATATCCTCTTTCAGCAGCTTTCAGATAGCATATTGCCTACAAGAGAGTCATCTACACTGTTAGGAACTAGAACTGAACAGATAATTATTATTTTTCTATTTGGGAAAGAAAGGAAACAGAGGAAGGAAAAGTGTGTTGGAGTCTGATAATGCTGGCTCCTAAACTGGAAAAGCATGACCACAGGATATAATCTCTTTCTTCCACTTCTTGTTTTTGTAACAGACATGACAAGGTGAAGTCTGAAAGAAAACCAAGTGATTTGTTACATTTGTTACATTTATTCTTCAAATTGATCAAAAAAGCACTGATTGTTACTGATCAGGCAATACTATATAAATAAAACAAAAGGAGGCATAGGCAGAAAAAGAAATAAAGAAACACCAAGAAAAACAAGAACAACAACAAAACGACTTACAAAGCTGTATCTGGGCAGTACTGCCAGGAAGAAGCATTGGATCCAAATCTCCAATTAGACAAACAGGGCATAGTAATGGTTTCAGGTTAGAAAGATTAAACCTGATGGGAAGTCCTTGTGGCTGAGGTGGGAGGTGTGGTGGTTCTATATGGACGCCCCAGATACAGCCTGCATCAGACAAAAGGAACTGAGAAAAGTACTAAAGAGGGTTTTTAAAGTTAGTTGGCTTTCAATAGATTATTTTTCTATATGCTGACAACCAACAATAAATTTCAGGTACTGCTTTTTTTCATTACTACTTCATGAAAGAAGCATGGAAATTAAGTAATTTCATGAATTAACCAAAAGATTTTATCCTTTCTCTTAAAATGCTAACAATTAAAGTGTACGTAGCAGGATTTTCCCTAGTTCTTCAAGGCACAATGGCATGTTAGAGATTACACAGTTATTTTATAAAACCAATGTAATGGCTACACATGCTGTCACCTGGCAGTATGCATCTAATTGATCTTACTCAATTACTTAATTTTATGACTCACTTTAGCAAAGGTTAAGACATTAATGTTTCAGAAGGCTATGCTGAATAATATAATTGTTGGAGATTACTTTCTCATATAATAGCTTCATTAAAAGCAGGTAAATAGAGGAAGAGTCATCCCATCAGGATGCTCACTGAAACTAAATAAATATCATATTTCAAAGCAACAGCATTACTGTCTTATGTACGTATGTTTTCTAGTGTCTCCTGTTTTGAAGTGGGAAATACTTGCTTCATTTTGACTTGCATAAATGACAGTAAACTCAAGTGAGAAACTCCTCTACTATTTTAGCATTTTTAAGCATGACAGGGAACGAGAAGGAAAGGCAGCTCAGTGGGCTCTTTGTAAGCCTGTCAACAAATATTTGTACTTCGACAGTATTTTCAACTGCAAAGCCAGGGCTTTTGTGTGGGTGGGAAAAGGTGCTGTGGTCCAGAAGCAATATT